TGGGCAGGGGGGGGAGTGGGGAGGGGGGGAAGTAGTATCCCAATCTTCAAAAGGATAAAAGCAGAGAGTAGAATCAGTATAACATATACACAGAAGTCCGTATTGTAAAGGCTATAAAGATTGGTTGCGCACCGCAAAGTGCCATCTCTGCACCTTCACACTGCACAAAAGTAGTCACGTGATTTATGTTGCGTATCTCTTGGTCCACTGTCTGGCTATCCTGTCATGCTCTGCTCTGTTGGTCAGGTACTGAGTGGCTATGCTTCCCACCAGAGGATCAGCTACATGGGAAGGAACAGAGACGGCACGTTAGGGGACATTCCAAAAACATAGAAATCAACATTGAAATGGTTTATTTATTTACGTTCTTTATAGTCCGCCTTTCTCACTGGGACTTCTTATTACACAGAACGAGTCCATGCGATCGGCAGATGGGGCATTCAATAAACAATGAAACAGAATTTGGGTGGTAGACCCAACCAGAAGTCTAATAACCAGAACTGAAGCAAAGCATTCAAGTGTTAACATGACATATTAAATGATGCAAAATGACACAACGGGAGCCAACCCACAGCAAACTATACACGGTTTCATTCTCAGCTATGGAGTCACCTCGATTTCATTCTGATTCCTCAGAGTATTTACCTCTATGTAACAGTTCACATGGTAACAGTTTTTCCCCCGGCTGGACCATTTCTAACTGCAGGTGAGGGCAGAGGTTTGTTTGTTTGTTATTAATTAAGATTTATTCAACTACGACAACACCAAAAGCGATAGAAAAGAGACAAAAACATACCAAATAAGTACACTGTCAAAGGATTTACCCATTACTTACTGGGTTTTTTTTTGCCATTCAGTTTTTATTTGTTTTCAAACATATACCATCAAACGCTTGTAACATAATTTAAATACAGAATCAACCACAGTTCTTCTTTACGAACACTACTACTAGATATTATACATACTTAACCCATTACTTACTGTTTGATTGATCATAAAAACAAGAATATCAAGAGTGAGGGACCCTAACTCTACTCCTGATGAGTCTGCTGCCAGTTCCATCCTCTGTACAACTTCTGACTATATTCAGTCCAATCTGGATACATCACTTTTTTGGGGGGGGGGGGGGAAAACTGTTGATTTTACCAAAATGTGGATATCTTTTTATTTTCAACAGCCAGTCTTCAATCTTGAACATTCTGTTATTGTTCTGTTTCTGTTTCCTGACAAAGCCCAATTTGGTTCCATCACTAATATGTAAGGCTATGATTTTGCTGGGTTGCCAGCTCTGGGCTGGGAAATACCTGGAGATTTTGGCGGGTGGAGCCTAAGGAGGGCGGGGTTTGCGGAGGGACTTCAGTGGGGTACGATGTTGCAACGTCCACCTTCCAAAGTGGCCATTTTCTCCAGGTGAGCTGATTTCTGTTACCTAGAGATCCACTGTAATCCCGGGAGCTCTCCAGCCACCACCTGGAGGTTGGTGACCCTAGATATCGGGTACGTAATCTAGAAGAAACATCTCTGGTTTGTAGGGAATTTGTTTTCTGAGAGCCGGGCTGATACAATCCTCACCACTCTCTTCCAATAACAGGAGGCACATTTGCAAGTCCACCATTTACGGGAGAAGGCAGGAGAGCAGAAGGTTTATGAGTTATACACAGTCCCTCAATCTCCTGCTTCTCCTAGGATAACAAACAGTAACGGAGAAGGGTGTCTGGAGCAGGGAAACAGCAGGGGGGACGGGGTGCTTAACTCTTTACTTCACTGCTTCTCGGTTGTAATTAGCTCCTCCCCGAAGCTGCTTATCTCCACAGGCAGGCTTCCAAATATTTATTAAAACATTAAAAACAAAATCTGGCCCTTCTCACCACAGATGGCAACTTACAGCAACTTCCAAAGCCATTTAAAGCTCGCAACATTACATTTGAAATTTTTCACAAAATTTAGAATAACCTTCCCCTGCATAAGAACATAAGAAGAGCCCTGTTGGAGCAGACCAATAGTCCATCTAGTCCAGAATCCTGGTTCGCACAGTGGCCAACCAGTTCCTCTGGAGAGCCAACAACAGGGCATAGAGGCTGAGGCCTTCCCAGGAACATTAGAAGAGCCCTGCTGGATCAGACCAACAGTCCATCTAGTCCGGCACCCTCTCTCACACAGTGGCCAACCAGTTCCTCTGGACGGCCAACAACAGGGCATAGAGGCCGAGCCATTCCCCGATGTTGCCTCCTGGCATTCAGAGGCTTAGTGCCTTAGTGCCCTCAATTGCCATGGCTAGTAGCCACTGATAGACTTATTCTCCATGAATCTATCTTATCCCCTTTTACCCAGCTGTTTATTCCTGTGGCCATCACTACACCCTCTGGTAGCAAATGCCACATTTTAATAACTCTCTGCATAAAGTAGTATTTCCTTTTGTCTGTCCTGAACCTACTGCCTGTGGAGGGTGGACTCTATGGCATTATACCCCACTGAGTTCCCTCGCCTTCCCAAACCCCGCTCTCCACAGGCTTCACCTCCAAATCTCCAGGTATTTCCCAAGCAGCAGTTGGCAACCCTATGTATATATGTAAAATTTGCAGGTTTAGCATAAGGTATACTTTTTATCTGTCACTTTTATATCACATACCATTCTTTCATCATGGAACTGGGGAACCTGACTGGGGATTTCCATGAAGGATTCCCTACCCAGGCAGGACCAGTCCCAGGCCTGCTTAGCAGCTTCAAGGAAGATGGCGGCAAAGAGTCCCCAACTCTGGGCTGGGAATCCCTGGAGATTTCAGGGTGTAGCCTGGGGGGAGGGCAGGGTTTGGGGAAGAGAGGTTATAATGCCACACCCTCCAAAGCAGCCATTTTCTCCATGAGAACCAATCCCTGTAGTCTGGAGACCAGTGGTATTTTTGGGCGATCTCCAGGCCCCATCCCAGAAAAACGAGTGCAACCAAATTACTAATGCAATCCTTATTTCTATTAAATAGACAGCTATAATCAATCGATACAATATAGTTTCATGTTAAGACTACACCTTTAACTATATTGTATCGATTGATTATAGCTGTCTATTTAATAGAAATAAGGATTGCATTAGTAATTTGGTTGCACTCGTTTTTCTGGGACTGTATATCTTCTTTTCGCAAATTTCTCTCCTATTTGCTCACCTGGAAGTTGGCAACCTGGTGAGAGAACGCTGGGTTGTCCGAGCGGGGTGGGGGGGGGGGGGGGGGGCTATGACAGAAAGTTCAATCCTATAAACCCACCCACCCCCGCATATGTCAGGTAGCGGGAGACTAACTTAGCTTTCTTCCTAACACACCGTATTTTCTGATGTGTATGGATTTCCCCCCCCTGCACTTTCCCCCCATCAAGAGCATTCAAGCAGGACCCTCCCCACACAGCCTAATACGGTACAGTCAAGGAACACAGTTCCTCTATGATGAGCTATTCAGTGTAGTTCAGCCCTACAACCTACTGATTTAAGTGGACCTTACTTCCAAGTTAAGCACGTTCAAAACTGCAGCTTCAGACACACACGAGGCATTTTGTAAAGGAGACAGTACACAAAACAGAATTCCACAGAGAGGCGTTTCAGTCAATTAGAGTTCTTTTTATGCCGGGACAATTGAATTCATTTGAAAGCTCGCAGAGAGTGACATGAAGTAATTCCCTGCAGCCAGAACAACAGAAAAGCCAATAGGAAGGCCTGGGCCCTGTTGTTCTTGGCAAAAAACGACAAATGTCCGATTTCACATGTTGTCAATTGCAGCAGCAGTAATAATAACCTGTCTAACAGAAGAGTAAACATTTGATAAACACTTCAGGTTTTCACTTTAAGGTATTTCAGGCAATCTTCCAACTAGCAGATGCCTCAAAACGTTTGCCCGGAACAGTATTTTCAGCATCCGAGTCGGAAACCGGTAATTTGTAGCAGCCTCTTGTAATTCTTCATACTCATCTTCCTTGAGGTAAGATACAGCATGTAAGCCTAGCGAGGACTGAAATATTCAGAGATGACACATACCCCAGCCCCTCCTGGACTGTACCACTGTATGTGTGTGTGTGTGTGTGACAAATAATAAATCTGAATGCCTCTCTGTGTCAAAAAAATCTCCTTGCATGTTGGACCTGAACACGCTGGAGAGAAAAGCTTTGCCTACCTGATTGAAAAGCCCTTTGGGAAACTGCTCAAAAATATACAGTTAACGAGATACGGGGTATCCGTGTCGCCTGCCCCAGAGGGAAAATTCTAAGGGGCCACTGGCTGTACTTGGGCCCAGTGGGTTGGATCAAGACGACAAGAGCCAGTGTGGTGTAATGGTTAAAGTGTTGGACTGGGAACTGGGGGAGCCAGGTTTAAATCCACACTCGCACCATGGAAGCTTGCTGGCTGACCCTGGGCCTGTCATATCCTCAGCCGAATTTACCTCAGAGGGTTGTTGTGAGAATAAAATGACGAAGAAGAGAACTATGTAAACCGCTTCGGGTCCTCATTGGGGAGAAAGCCAGGATATAAAGTAAGTAAACAAACAAACTGTACTAACAGAAGGGGAAAAGGAACTTCCACCAGTTGCCCATTCACATCAGGGTGTCCTAGCCCCCAGATGTAGCGTTTTGTGGAGATCAGAAGAAGAAGAAGAAGAGATTGGATTTATACCCCATCCTTCACTACCCAAAGGTGTCTCAGAGCAGCTTACAATCTCCTTTCCCTTCCCCTCCCCACAAGAGAAACCCTGTGAGGTAGGTGGGGCTGAGAGAGCTCTTGACAGAAACTGCCCTTGACAGAACAGCTCTGAAAGAGCTTATGACTGACCCAAAGTCACACCAGCAGCTGCATGTGGAGGAGCGGGGAATCAAACCCAGTTCTCCCAGATTAGAGTCTGCACTCCTAACCACTACACCAAACTGCAGCCAGCTGCAGTGGGAAGGAGGGAGCCAGTGAAGTCCCGTTCCACCGATGCAAAATTTATTCCGGATCAAACCCAGTTTTTATTGTGTGAACGCAACGACATCCTAAAGGGACAAAGCTGTTGAGCCACTTTACTGAGCACTGTGTTAAAAGGAAGTGCGATCGGTGAGGTCATATTTCACTGGCTGGAGTATAATGCATTAACTCGTACAAGTTGGCACCCGGGGATGGGGAATGAACAAGTGGGAAACATCCCTCCCCCCCCCAAAACAACAACAGCACAAGATTGTGGACTTCTGGGGCAAGATGACTAGCTTCTTGGTGCTCCAGCCCACGACTTTAGCAAACTTTAGCCGCCTTAAAGGTGCCCCTGGACTCTAAATGTGTTCTACTGCTTCGGACCAACACGGCAGACCACCTGGATCAATCTTCTGCTGCATGACCAGAGAGCTTTAAAGCAACATGAGCTGGACATTGATTCTCTAGCTCAGAATTGGGCCAACAAAAAGCAGAAGGAGTTTTTGTATATTTGGAAAAGTTATAAACAAAAAGTTATTTTTTAAAAAAGCAGGAGGAGGTTATTATTTATCTCTCCGGCCATCTACTGTATAGGGAAGGTTGGGGAAGGGAAATTAGGGTCAGGGAACGTGTCGCCACGCGAACACATGAAGCTGCCTTATACAGAAGAAGAAGAGTTGGTATTGTACCTTGCTCTTCACTACCTGAAGGAGTCTTGGAGCAGCTTACAATCTCCTTCCTTTCCTCTCCCCGCAACAGACACCCTGTGAGGTAGGTGGGGCTGAGAGAGCTCTGAGAGAAATGGTCTTGAGACAACAGCTCTAAGAGAACTGTGACTGGCCCAAGGTCACCCAGCGGCCTGCATGTGGAGGAGTGAAGAATCAAACTCAGTTCTCCAGATTAGAGTCTGCCACTCTTCACCACGACACCACAGCTGACTCTCTAGAATCAGCTGGAATCAGACCACTGGGCCATCAAGGTCAGTATTGTCTACTCAAACTGGCAGCAGCTCTCAGGCAGAAGTCTTTCACATCACCCACCACCTGGTCCTTTCAGCGGGAGATGCCGGTGACTGAACCTGGGAGCTTCTGCAGGCCAAGCAGATACTCTTACCACAGAGCCACATCCCCTCCTCTCCAGAGCACACATCCTCTGATCCCATTTTCATTCCTATTGTGGCCTGCTATCACCTGTTCAGAATTCTGCCCTCTTCACAAATAAAGAGGAAGAGGAAAAGGTACGCTGAATGAGAGGAAGCTCTTTTCTCCCTATCCTAACTGCCGGGACTCTCTAAGCTTTCAAGCAGTCAGAGCTTTTCAGATTTTATGTCATTCCTCCGCCTCCGGAATATGACACGTTAGGGATTAAAGCAAGCCATCTCCTATACATCCTCACTCTGTCTCTTCTTGCTTTCAACTGAGCCTCACCATTTTTGCGGCTCCTAGAAGATAGCAAACCTGCTACACCCTCGTCTGGCTGGGTCCTTCTCTTCAGAGGGGAGATGGGGGAGGAAGATGCGCATGTGTCTAATGTTTTGGATAAATTTTATAGAAGCAACATGATATCTGGCAATCCCTTTAACTCTTTGATGGGCTTGGGGGGGGGTTCAATTTTTTTTAAATAGCAACATATTTATTTTCCTATATAATTGAGGAGTTTCCCCAAATTTGCAGAAACCCTACTATATTGTGGAGGTTAGCCCTGTTTTGCTGCCCTCCTGATAATCTGGGGGCTGTCAAGCTATTTAGGTGTACTGGCGCATCATTCACTGTTATTGGAACTGAGGGTATAACCTGCTAATAACTTTGCTCTCAAAAGTGACTCAACGACTGGTCGACTGCACTACCTGGGTATTCAGAGCAGGTAACTGGGGTTTTGTGGCTTGTGGGACAAATTTTTTTCTGGTGGGGCTGAAGTTCTCAGTGCAAAAAGAAAAACCATTTTGGAAACAGAAAGCTGTTACCAGGATAGATCTCAAAACTGCAAGCTGTCAACCACTTTAGATGACAGTTCTCAGCTGCTGCAAGTTAATCACTTCTGCCAACCTAAGCAACAATTCTGATCAAAAGCCAGCAGGTGGGGGTGATGACTTCTATAGCCAAGAAGCTAACACTTAGGCAGAAAACCTCTCCTGAAGGAGATCAGTTTCTTGACACAGAGTTAGAAGGGATCCTAGAGGTCACCTACTCCAACCCCCTTGCTCAGTGCGGGAATTAGTCAACAACAGCACCCCAGTCTGCTTAAAGCAGTGCATGCCTTTAAAAAAATGTTTTAAAATGTTTGAAAAATGCATTTACAGGAGAAATTCTTGTGGGGCTGTGCCTTTAAGAAAGGGGGCAGAGCCCCCCAAAGCCCCACCATAGCTACGGGCCTGATCCAGAGGTTTAAAGATAACCTGAACAAAAGCATCCATTTCCAGGGCATGCTGTGTCAAGCCATCAGCCTTTTCATCATGAATTCATCATCTCCCCTGCGTTTGATCCAATGTATTTATTTATGTCTGTCTTACACGGTCAATATGCTTTGAGCAATTCTTTTTTTTTTTTAACAACCAGGGGTAGGAATTGGTTTGGCTTTGCTGGCCGTGCAATTAGTAACGCTGAAAAGGAAAACAAGAAATAATTAATTCCTTACCAGGATTGCAGTCTGTCAAGAGGGAACAGATAGACAGCAGAACCTTTGAAATAGTCAAAGCAGGGCTCCAGTTGTCTTTCAGAATATCCAGACAGATGACTCCCTGACTGTTGATGTTGCAGTGATAGATCCTGGTACGGAAAGTAACCTAAAAAAGAGTGGGGGGCCGAGGGGGAGAAAATCATTACGCACCTTTTGTGCACAGGTTGTTACCAATCTTTTTGAAACCTGCAGGGAATTATTCACCCTTTGTCGGAGAATGTTGCTACGGAGGCTTTTCATTTTTGTTCCTTGCGATGTAAGACTCATCTGAAAAGTGGTTTTCCCTCAAACCCTCCCCCCGCCCCACAGCTGCCTTATTCATGGCTGTTATCTCAAACTTTAAAGTTTTGTTGCGGCTTTTCCTGGTGAGCCGACAGCGTCATACTCCTGCTTGGGGTGTGGAAATAAAAACGAAGCGTGAGGATATATCACATGGCTCTTCTGGACTTGGGGGGCACACACGATCCGGGGCAGTGATGCTCTGTATTCTTGGTGCTTGGTGGGGGGGGGACAACAGTAGGGGGGCTTCTGGAGTTCTGGCCCTTCTGGGGGAACCCCTGATGGCACCTGGGTTTTGGCCACTGTGGAACAGAGAGTGTTGGGCTGGATGGGCCACTGGCCTGATCTAACAAGTTCTCTTATGTTCTTATGTTCTCTCATCAAATGGCAATCAGATGCCAGCCTGAGTTCCTTTTCAACGCAAGTTAGGACAACAGTGATGGTGTTACTGTCTACCCCACTAACCTTCTGACAGGCCTCCAGAGTGAGGATCCAGAGTACAATGAACTTTGGAGACAGATAAAGCTTTTACATTGCAGTGCCATGTCCCAATGCGCACACCTTTGAAATAGGTGAGATTTTCAAAAGCAGGTGAAATTTTCAAAAGGGAAAAAGAGTAAAAAAATTACTCCTAACCCTACCTGCATAAGAACATAAGAGACGCCAATGTTGGATCAGGCCAAAGGCCCATCCAGTCCAACGCTCTGTATCACAGAGTGGCCAGAAATACCAGTGCCATCAGGAGGTCCACCAGTGGGGCCAGGACATTAAAAGCCCTCCCACTGTTGACCCCCCCAAGCACCAAGAAGACAGAGCATCACTTGCCCCAGAGCCCCTATCTATACCTGGTGGCTAATAGCCACTGATGGACCTCTGCTCCATATGCTTATCTAATTCCCTTTTGAAGCCGTCCATGCTTGTAGCCGCCACCACTTCCTGTGGCAGTGAATTCCATATGTTAATCACTCTTTGGGTGAAGAAGTACTTCCTTTTATCCGTTCTACCCCGACCGCTCAACAATTTTATGGAGTGCCCACAAGTTCTTGTATTGTGAGACTCCCTCCACAGACACCCTTGGGTCTGCCTAAAACAGGTCTCTGGATACAAACCAGATGACACAACCTGTTAGAGAAGGCAGAAGACAGACCCAACCCCCACCCCAATCCTTGATTTCAACGGTGTGAGAAGTTCAACAGATGCACTGGCTGAATAAAGCGAAAACTTGGCCTATTTGTTCAATAGCAGGTTTTGAATCTTCTCCTTCAGACATCTGCTACACAGCTGCAATTTTTAAACAAACATTTATGCTGGCAAAAAAAATATCTATATCATATGAGCAAAATGCATGCGATTTCAGTTTTATGCCTGGGACAATTTTATGGATTATATTTGGCACTCCATTTAGAAAAACCTTCCAGTAGCAGGCGTACAGTTTTTTTAAAAATGATAATCGATGCCAACATTGCATTTTCATTGGGAACACTGTCAGTATCAAGGCAGGATTCCTTCTTATTTTCTTTTAAGACAACAGCTATAAAGACACAGACTTTTTAAAAAAAACATGAAGCTTTTATTTATTACACTTTGGTATCCAATTATTTATTACACTTTGCTATCCAATTAACTGCCTAATTAGTTCTAACGATCCTGATGGAATTTTGACTGTTCTGAGATAAAACAGTTTCAGTAAACAAAGCCACATTCGTTCCCAACACACACTTCACGAACAGTTTAGAATTGCTAAAAAATCAATGGGGATGGAAAGGTTTGTGACTGTGCCGCCCAACATTTCAGGAAATTTCAGACCGATACGTTGGGGACAATTTAATAACTGCTTTGTTTGTGTCCTCTTCACCTGAGATGTTTTACAGTCTGTTCATGTCCGTACACCGCTTTGAGCAGTAGTCAAAGGCCAGCACGACAGGATCTGAGCTAGCATGGCATTTTTCTACCGCTAGGGAAAAAGACTCTTGAGAAAAACCAGTAGATTCCTATTTAAGACACACCTTACTATAAAACTGTTCTGCGAATTCATACCATGAAGCCATTAATTCGATTTTAATTACTCCATAAAATTGTCACAATAAAAAGCCCAGCCCTCAAATTATCTTTACACATGTGCAGATCACTATCAAATGCTCATGACAGCGAGTCGAGAGGCCTTCTGTCTTTGCTTTTGCCAGAAATGAAAATCTTTGTCTTGATTCCATGTACTAACTTTAGTGCCTAGCGTTCCACTCTAGGTTTCCAGTTAGGGAACCTCCATGTGGAACTGGGGGAGCCCCTGGGATTATAGCTCATCTCCGGACTACAGCGATTGGGTCCCCAGGAGAAAACGGATCCTTTGGAAGGTGGACTCTGTGGCATTGTGCCCCACTGGGGTCCCTGCCGCCCCCAGGCTCTATCCCCAAATCTCCAGGAGTTTACCAACCTAGATCTGGCAACCCCACGCCCCCACCCTAGGAGGTGGTGGCGGCTACAAGCATGGACGGCTTCAAGAGGGAACTGGATAAACATATGGAACAGAGGTCCATCAGTGGCTATTAGCCACAAGGTATAGATAGGGACTCTCAGTCTGGGGCAAGGGATGCTCTATATTCTTGGTGCTTGGGGGGGGCAACAGTGGGAGGGCTTCTAGTGTCCTGGTCCCACTGCTGGACCTCCTGATGGCACCTGGTATTTTTGGCCACTGTGTGACTGAGTGTTGGACTGGATGGGCTTCTCTTGTGTTCTTATGTTCATCCCCCACCGGGGGGGGGGGCTGGCAACCCCATTTCCAGTCCAAGAGTGCCATTCTAAACAATTACACCCTTCTAATCCCACTGATTCCAATAGACTTAGAAGGGAGCACAAAGTTAGTTTAAGTAAACAAAAAGTTTTTTCTTTAAAAATCAGACAATTTTTCTTACTTCTTTGCACAAAGTTAGTTTAAGTAAACAAAAAAGTTTTTTTCTTTAAAAATCAGGCAATTTTCCTTACTTCTTTGTTTGTTTGTTTGAGAATTCTTATGCTGCCTCTCTGGGGAATCTTTGCCTAACTTGCACACTAGCTCAACAGTTAGTTTCTGTTCGAAGCTGCCAACACACAGGGGTCTAGGTTGAGGTATCTTTAAAAAACAATCCAGGAGTCTATCGAATGCGCCAAGAGTTTTTAAACCTTAGTGTATTAATAATTTAGGGTGCAACTTAAGCCACAGTATGGGCTGCCCATGCTGGTTAACAGCTATGCACACTGCAGTGCGCTTGATAAAATATTTAGCTGGCTGAGGTCTGGTTGGAAGGGGGACGTTAAGGCCTTGAGGGAATTCCCTCTTGTGTGAATGCGGAAGCATGGATCACAATATCTCCTCCATCTCCCCCCACCCCCAGTAAGTACAAGCTGGAACATGATAAAACTGGTAGTTGCTGTCGCCCTAGTCCAAAATTCATTTTTCTCCCCTCGGATGATAGCAGGGTCTAAACATAGCTCTGTGGCACACCAAATGTGTCTTAACTGCTGTGGTCACATACACTGAATAATCCACTTTCAATCCAGTTTCAGTGCACTTTCCAACTGTGTGAACTGGCAAAATCCAGTTGGAAAGTGCACTGAAAGTGGATTGAGAGTGGATTATTTAGTGTGTGTGACTGCAGCCAATAGTGGGAGACGCATTAGAGCCCGCCCTGGCCTGGCCTGGCCTCGTCGGATCTGGGAAGCTAAACAGGGTCAACCCTGGTTAGTATCTCAGTGCGAGACCACCAAGGAATTTCAGGGTCATGCTGCAGAGGCAGGCAATGGTCAACCACCTCTGAACATCTCCTGCTTTGAAAACCCTACAGGGTCCCCATAAGTCAGCTCTGACTGGACTAGAGATGTGAAGGCCCGGAAAAAAACCAGAAAAATTCGGAAAAAAACCGTTTTTTCCCCTGAAGCTTTTTTGTTTTTTTCCGAAAAATTGGAAAAATTGAAAAAAGAAAAGAAAAGAAAAGAAATTGATTATGGAATGTTTTATTTTAACATGATAAATAAAATATTTTAAGACAAGGTGTTCAAATATTTTCCAAATCATTTCTAAAATATATAATGGTATCAGATTGATCTAATTTCTGTGCACTGAGGACAAGCAAGTCCTAGGTTACAAACTGAACTCTCCAATGCAAGAACAAGATGCATTTCTTCCTTTAGGAGGTGCGATTGTCAGAAGAAAATAAAAAGGTTTCAGTTTTGTTTTTGCATGTGGGTGGGTATTCTGTTTGTAATAATTGGGTACACTATATTTTTAATATGCTAGTTGTGATAATTTCATGCCAAGTAAAAATGTCCATAGTCATTTTTTATGTTCCTAAAGTAACAGAATGACTTTCAATCTAGAAAAGACAAAAGAAATGCTAATGTAGCATTTTTTTCAATTTTTCCAAAAATTTCCGTTTTTTCCCGAAAAAAACCCGGGTTTTTTTCCAATCTTCAAAATTTCCGGAAATTTTACATCTCTAGACTGGACAGCATTTTCCACCACCATTATTACAGCTTGGGGCAGTTTTTACCCTATCCGTGGGGCTGAGCACCATACTTGAAGTGGCGTTGACAGCACAGTGGTTTCTTGCTACAGTTTTCCCATTGGTCAACCTACAAGTGCTTTTCGCTCTCCCTCAGAAGGGAAGTCATCGAATATACACACAGAGATAGCCCTTTGTAAGATCCACCATTTTGAAAATCATATACATAGCCTTACCTTTGGTGGTTTAAATGGATAATCAGAAGAAAACGTGATATCCAGGAAAAAGACACCACCTTCATATACGGAACCTGGGGGACCAAGGATCGTAGATCTCCATTCATAAATGTTATCCCCTTTAGGGCCGGCACTATTGAAATAAGAGAAAGGAGGGAAGAGAAAGAGTGAGTGGGGGTGCTTTGCAAACATTGTCAATCGTTACACTTTGATTTAACCCTCTTGAATTGTGCCTGTTGCTGATATAAGAGTCGGCTTTTTGTATGCGCTTCCTATGAATGAAGAAACGGCACATCAACTGAGTGTCGATGTCAGATCTTTCAACACAAGGCCCATCTTTGTCATTTGTAATATTTAGCTGTGAGGCCTTTTGTCTTGGGCCCTTCCCAGTGTATGGGACATTAATAAGGAAGAATTATTTTCTTCCAGCACAGGGGCTACAAAGAGTTAGGCATACTTCATCTGTCTCTCAGTCATATATTTTACTCTTGGTTCCTTTTCAGAAGCTCGGGGCCATCCACATACATGAGTTTATTTCAGCAGACGAGAGACCTGTCCAGGGTTACCCGGTGAAGCTTCAAGGCAGAGTTGGGATTTGAATCGGGGTCTCCCCAGGCCTAGTCCCACATTCTATCCTCTAAAAAGGTAAAGGTTCCCTTGCTCGAAAGCCAGTCGAATCCGACTCTAGGGTTACGGTGCTCATCTCGGTTTCAGCCGAAGAGCCAGCGCTGTCCGAAGATGTTTCCGTGGTCATGTGGCCGGCATGACTAAACACCAAGGCGCACGGAACCCTGTTCCCTTCCCACCGAAGTGGTACCTATTTATCTATTTGCAATTTCTTGCTTTCGAACTGCTAGGTTGGCAGGAGCTGGAACTAGAGATGGGAGCTCACTCCGTCATGCGGCACAATCAGGTCTCGAACTGCTGAACTACCGACCTCCCACAGCCTGCAGTTCAGCGTCTTAACCACTTGAGCCACCGCAGCTCTACACACTAGCAGAACGAAGATGTGGAAGAACGGCTGCCATTCTGAAGCTACCGTTCTGCAGAATTATCTAATCTGGTGATGGCCCCCAGGAAATATGCCTTGACGAAGATCTGTAGGCCATTCTGGAGCCCTACTGCCAGTATCACGCAGTTGGTGGAATATGTACACTTGAAGCTGCCTTATACTGAAGCGTCTATCAAGATCAGAGTCATTTCTACTCTGGCTCTCCAGGGTCTCAGGTTGGAGTCTTTCACATCATCTAGTACCTAATCCTTTGCGCTGGAGATGCCAGAGACTGTACCTGGGACTTTTTGTATGCAAAGCATTACTGATGAACCACAGTCCACTTCCATAGCCATGGTCTCAGAATCCTATAGCTAAGGTCCCACAGATCACTGAATATTTGCTCTATCACTGTGCCATAGCCAGTGTTCCCTCTAAGCTAAGTCAGTGTGAGCTAGCTCACAGTTTTCTAGCCTCCGGCTCACACATTTTTGTCTTAGCTCAGGAAGGAGGGCTCCAGAGCAAGCTAATTTATGCAGTAGCCAAACTGCTCGCTCAGAACTATAATGCCAGTAAAGCTCACAAAGTAGCAATTTTGCTCCACACCTTAAAGGGAACACTGGCCATAGCTGCATTTTGTAACTGGGCAGGAAAATCTAGTTGCAAATGACTGCTATATGGCACAGTATCCAGTGATGTGTGGGTGCAGCTTTGGTAATTATCGTATTTCTCGGCCATTCAAAGTACCCGCAGATGCTAATCTGAAGGGTGAATTACCAGAAAGCAGAAGCCATGATATGAAAGGTTACGGTAAACATGCCACACCATAGCACCTTGGACACACAAAGGCCAATGTTGACAGAAAAACGACTTATTTGTACCCTTGTCTGTAGGAGTATTGAGAAAAGGATCTACTGTTAGATTACTATTCAAAGAATTTCTATATCTGTGTATCTGAGGGAATAATGTCTTTTTTTCATCTCTCTTATTTTTATGCTCTGGTGCAGAAACAAATTTTTGACAAGAATCATCTCACCTCCAAGTAACCATGTTATGATAAGGCCCTTTTAACGAGTGTTTATCACAAGATTTTATACAGAGCCCTCAAGAAAGCCTCATGAAATCCCTTGTTTACACATATTCTTATTTGTTGTGTTTTTTTTAAAGCTGTTTCACAGCTATGGAATTCAAATGTGTCTGTTCCAAGAGGGATTGAGGTAAGCTCCAGTAAACAGTCGCGCTGACAGTCATGTGGAAACAGTAAAATATGGACTGCCAAGAAACATCATTGCTTTTCACACCTTGAGGAGGCGGGGGGACAAGATCCTCTATAATCTAGGCTAGGAAGCAGGGAACAAATGAGACAAAAAACTCACAAAGGGGACTTCACACATCCTTCTGCATACATCTACCGGACGGCTGTTGTGAGGTTTGTGGCTCGGTCCCCCTGGCTACCAGCAGGGGGTAGGGAGGTAGGGTTGCCAGCACCAGGTTGGAAAACGCCTGGAGATTTGGGGATGGAGCCTGGGGAGGACAGGGACCTCAGGGGGGTACAATGCCACAGGGTTCCTCCCCGCCAAAGCAGCCATTTACTCCAGGGGAACTGGTCTCTGTAATCTGGAGATGAGCTGTAGTTCTTCTGGGAGATCCCCAGGTCCCACCTGGAGGCTGGCATCCCTAGTGGTAGACCATGGGATTTGCAAGAAGAAGGTCCCTGGTTTGACCCCTGCAATTTCCAGTTAAAAGGCAATGCCAGAGAGACCTGGGTTCAAATTGGTGCCCACCAGAAAACGTATTGGCTGACCTGAACCACTCATTCTCATTCAGTCTAACAAACCTAACCGCATGGCGGTGTTGTGAAGATAAAATGGAAGCAAGGAGAACCATGTTCCCGGAGCTCCTTGAAGGCAAAGTAGGATAAAAATATGCTTAATAAACGTAGCAGACCTTGGGGAAGACCTTTTTTCTCTGTCTGAGGCTGCTGTCAGGCAGGGTATACAGTACTGACCTAGATAGATCCATCAGTTCAGATCAGTAGACAGCCCTACTGGATAAGACCAGTTTTCTATCTGGTCCAGCATCCTGTTTCACACAGTAGCCAAAAGAGTTGCTTTGGAGGGCCAACAAACAGGGTGCCTCCTACCACTGGTATTCCAAGGCTTGCTGTCTCTATATAGGGAGGTCAGTAGACACGGACAGACCTCTCCTCCTTGAGTCTAACTCCCTTTTAAAGCCATCTATACTATGCCCACTGGCAGTGAATGCCACAGTTTAATTACTCCTCTGTGGATCTGTAATAATATTAAGACTCTACACTGCAACTACATGTGCTGGAGAAGGCTCCTGCGCATTCCTTGGACAGCAAAGCTGACAAGAAAGCAAGTATCGGAGTGCATAAAACCAGACACGCCATTGGAAGAAAAAAATTACAAGACTGCGACTGACTTGTTTTGGCCACACCATGCGGAAGAACTTACTAGAAAAACCTATTATGAGAAGAAGAAGAAGAAGAAGAAGAAGAAGAAGAAGAAGAAGAAGAAGAAGAAGAGGAAGAGGAGGAGGAGGAGGAGGAGGAGGAGGAGGAGGAGGAGGAGGAGATTGGATTTATACCCTGCCCTTCACTCGGAGTCTCAGAGCGGTTTACAAACTCCTTTCCCTTCCCCTCCCCACAACAGACACCCTGTGAGGTTGGTGGGGCTGAGAGAGCTCTGAGAGAACTGTCCTTGAGAGAACAGCTCTGACAGAACTTTGGCTTGTCCAAGGTCATCCAGCAGGTGCAAGTGGAGGAGTGGGGAAACAAACCCAGTTCTCCCAGATTAGAGTCCGTGCACTTAACCACTACACCAACCTGCTTAGATTGGTTAGTGGCAAAAGGATGGATACCCGGCCACCAAAGAGCATGGTGGCTAGACAACATAAAAGTTGACACCAGCCAGAGCATGGAGCAACTAAAAGAAACAGTACAAGGCTGGCTGGAAAACATGGAGTGAGCTGGCCCACAGAATCGCCAAGAGTCGAATATGACTGAATGGCTAACAACAACATTGCAACACAATTGGTAATATTTTTTTTAAAATAAACAGTGGTTTTAAAAATCTTTGTTTAATTTACAAATGTCAGGAGAGCCAAGATCTGTGCACTTTTGTAAGAAGAGACAATTGGGCTTGCAAGTGATTCCTGAAGATCTGCAAAGGCAGCATAGCAAGTTATTTTGCCCATATTTGCTGAAGGATCAAAAACAGCCAAGGAAATTAAAATGATGACAAAAATATTTAAAGCCCACATTGAGGCCATCAGGTGTTCCAATTAACTCCTGACACCCATTAAGCATATATCGTTTAATTAGCACTAGACCTGGAAATCAAATTTCTCTGGAACAATTCAATTTTGGCACAGGTTTCCTTAATGGCTATTTTATAGCTTAATGCAGAGGTTAGCGCTCCTATATCATCTGTCGGCTACCTTTCTTTCAAACACCTCTAATAGCTAGATGCAATTCAATCAGTTTAATGAAACAGCTGAATTGACTTAGCAACATATTTCAGCCAAATTAATCAGTCACAATTAAGGTTACAGCCTCTAGCTGTGTGCCAAACTACCTGGTAATCACTCAAAGAGTCAGAACAAGGGCATCTATCAATTAAACAGTCAGGCATCTAAGAGGAATAACTCCCAGGTTACTATTTACAATCATCCAGTACATTACTATTAGTGCCACTTAAAATTACAAGGGCTGCTCAGACAGGGGAGACTCTGCTCTTAAAATTTCTTACATTCTGACCCTGCAGAAGTTATGGAGGGCAGAAGCTTGACACAACTGCACTGACAGCACTCTTCCTAGCTTGTACGGGGGAGGTATCCATGTGGAACTGAGGTGTTGGAAGGAGTCCTATGATACGACAGCCTCTGCTGCTGTACTGGGAATTAAGAAACAGAGGTCCAAGGGCATGTGTGGACAGCAAAGCAAGCAATCCTCTAATAAGAACCACTGCCATGGTAGACAGACATCCCTAGAAAGACGGGATGGCCACCATGACTCAGCTGGATCCATGCCTTGCTGGGTTTTGTTGTATTGTTTGGCGATCACAGTCAGCCATATTTGTTGGAGGTCTGGCTAATTCGTGGTAAGGACAGGTGGCTGA